ACATTTTTGTCTTCTGGTAAAGTATAGTTGTGCTTGAACTTGGTGCCAGTAATTATGTTTCTGGTTTACATGAATTTGATTATGTTCTTTATAAATTATGTAAGTTTTGTCTTTACTTATTTCTTCTGATAGCAAACTATTTCTGAATTTATAGGGGCATTTTACCTCAACTACACAATTTTCTCCTATAAGTCCATCTGGGGATGCACCAAGATATCCACATTTATGTAACCATAATCCAGTTTTTTGAATCAACACATTTTCAGTTTTCTGGAGAAAACTTAATGCTGCATCTTCATTATTAAGCCCCCACTCAATAGCATGCACACCAGTAGTGATATATTCATTGTTCAGTGATTTAAACAGTGATGGATTATATTTTTTCTTATGGCATGCTGCAAGTATATTTCCATACATGCTTGAAGTAAGTCTGTGCTTTTTATATGTAATCCATTTAATGTTTTTGGACTGACCAATTGTTTCTTGTGCTACTTCTAAAATAATTTCATCAGACACACTTAATTTATTTTCTAGAAGCTGTGTTTTTGTTGTTGATGATTTATACTCATCTGATATAATTATATCATTAATTAATACAACTGGTGATTGTTGAAATAACACTTCAACATTGGGTTCAGGTTTTAATAGCCAGGACATACCTATTGGTGTACCTAACTGTTCTAAAGCTTTTTTAAAGTTATTTTGGTTTTTGTTTGGTAAAGAAATTGTAGCTTTATATGAACAAGCAGGATATAAATCACTAATAGTTTTAGTATTTTCAAGATTACTATTTCTCACATTCCAAGAGCAAATACTATCTGTAGAACTACAATTATGATGAGCAAACAAACATAAAGCTGCCATATGATGACAAATCACCAATCCTCTAGGACATGTACACGTACTGTCACATATAACTCCATCATTGAGAAATATCTATGAGAGAATGTTTTCTATGATTAAAATTTAGAAGTTCTATAATAATAATTAGGGCTAGGGACTTCATGCCCTAAAAAACCTTAAAATATGCATGCATTTATGCCCTAAAGATTCACTTGATATGCTATTAAAATATGCATTTAAAAAAAAGTAATATTTGTAGTAAATAATAATACTATTTGTGGATACGATACATAAATAGATAAATTTGATTAATTATCTGAGATAATTATTTTCATATTTTCAGCTTGTTTAAATGTAATACAAACATTATAAAATTTTTTTAAAAAACAACAAGTTGAATATATTTGTATATTTTTAAAATACCTAGTACTTATTACTTTGAGTATTACATTGAACTATTAGATATTTTCTTAAGTTGGGAATTAAAAACTTATTCACATAAATAATTGTCAAATATGCTATTATAAAATAAAAAATGGTCAAATATGTAAAATATGCAACTATAAATTTTAAATTTAAAATTGTATTGCCATGAAACATATGTCTGTATTACTTAGCTATGATTTTAATGATTAGTTAAAAACATGCACTCCTAGAAGTCCTGAGCCCTAATAATAATTAATACAATATATTGCATACTTTCACTTTATACTGGATTGATTTCATACTTGCTTTTACTTCACCTTGTATCAATCCATTGGCTGAGTCGTATACTATTTTACAAATGTATCCAGCGTTAAATGAAAGTTCTCCCTTTTTTAGTTGTTTGGGATTTGATTTAAAATAATCAAATATCGCAAACATACTAATAGCACTATTTGCAGACATTATGGTGAATAAAAAAAATAAATAATTGCTAAAAAAAAAAATAGAATATTTTTTAAAACTCCCAACTATTTATTTATCATATTTAAAAAAATAATCAACAATAAATCAGGCAAATAAGAACAAAGAGTAAAATAAAAAAGGATATTATTTTTATTATTATTATTGCTGTACAAAGATTTTGGCGCCAAAATTAATTTTTAAATTTATTTAAATTCTGTCTCCTTATTTAAACTTTACATGTATTATTACAAATATTTGTATCATAATGTATCTAAATATATCAAAAAATCATGTTAAATATAAGTACATTTAATAAAAATAAATAGCTAAAAAATTTTTCCGTGCATTTAGCATAGGGACAATACTATGTTTGGATCCGGCATATGTAGAAACTCCCTGATAAAACGTTATCACTAATAAAGCGTATTGGATCATTTGAATCATTCGCTAGACTAAACCGGTGTGAAAAAAAATGCACCGGGATGTTTGGACCATATCATTTACATGGTTCATTATCCCGGTGCGGGATAATATGGGATAATTTTATACCGGTTTAGTCTAGCGAATTTCTATATTGGATTAGGTATTTGAAATTTGAACGGAAATAGTAAATACAGACTACTATACATTCGTACAGTGTTGTATTCATACGTTTTAGTAAAAAGTTGCCATGCATAAGTGTATTCTTTTTAGTAAGACATCCAAAGTATTGCCTCGCCACATTATCTTAATTTTCATTTGTAAGTATTATTTTTTAGTTGTACTGATTATATTTCTTAATAATATGGTGCCAGTCTAATTTGTTCACAAATATAGATTTCCAAAAGATGAAAATAGAAGGAAATAAATTTTCAAATTAAATGATTACCCAATATCTATCTGGAGCAGAATCTGCGGTAATCATTTCACAATCAGTAATTATAAACAAGGCTCAGTATATAGTAGATATTATTATGGCCAGAGGCTGTCACAAAACATAATCCAAACCTCATGTCTGTTTAGAGGAGTAAAATAAACAATATAAAATAAATTTTAATAATTTACAGCAACACTGGTACCACTCTGAGCACGACTAGTAAATCATCTAAGAGGTAAAATCTTTTAATATTAATTAGGTAGGTATTCAGATATTTTTTACAACTTTATATTTTCAGAAAATTATATTTCTCCAACGATGACTTTGAAGAAAACGAACAGACAAATAAAGGAGTTGGAGACGTTACAGTCGATGATTTTAATTCACTCAGAAAAGCCTTAGAAACTTAAAAATGCTTAATTCACACACACTTATATGAGCATATTACTCAAATTCATATTTTAAATGTTTGCCAAAGCCAAAAGTTACTTAGTGGTTTATCATTTTTAGTTCATACAGTGGATTATACTTATTATGGTTTTCAAAACTGAAATATATGATGTACCACATACAAGGAACTATTAAATCGAGCCAATGTGTTGACAATTTTCAGACGTTGACTTTCGTTGAATTATATACATACCATATTGGAGCGAGTTATGGAACTTAAAGGTGAGAATATTGTTAATAGGTTTTTATTTTAAAGCTATTTTACTGTACTATTTACTAACAAACGTACCCACCTGTTCACAGGACACATAGTATAATATCTACTTGTGTGCGTGGACATAAATTTGTATATCGAAAGGGCTCAGCCCGTTAAGTCAAAATAAATTAATAAATAAATAATTATATCTTACATTCTTACAATATTAAAATATCCATATCTTGTTTTAAAAATAAAATACAAATAAATGCTTAGTGCTTCTCTACAAGGTAGATTGAAAAAAATATTTGCTTTTAAGTTTGATTATAATATTATGTAATATTACTCTAATATTAAAGCTAACAGTACAAAACTGGATCTACTGTACTCACACTTGCATGTTGCTCGTTATTCAAAGAGAGAAACAAACGGTGCACTGACATATTTTTAACAAAGTTTTAATTTTTTAGGCAATACAATTTTGCTGGGAAACAATCCAATTTCAATAACACAAAGGGCCTCAACATATTTAAATTGCAAAGAAACACATAACTAGTTTAGACTTATCTAATAATTTCATTTATTTCTGCTGAATGAAGGTTTAGATATTTTCCTAAAAAACCAACACAAAGATCTCGCAAAATTAAACCTGGTGATCCCTTCACTGAATTTGTAATTCCTTATGTAAAGTAAGTACGCATGTAAAAGATATATTAAGATATATTTACGTACATATTGTTAACAAATAATCAAATAACAAAATCTTTTGTAGTGAAATTAAGAGATTCCAAAAATATCCTTTTGCAATATTGAATTGGTTGGAAAATCCAATGTCTGAAGATACAGATTACGAATTGATTTTAGAACTCATATATTACATTTGTAACAATAAAGATGATGGTGCAATACTTGTGTTTCTTTTTGGATGGGATCAAATATCAAAACTGACTAAAATTTTAAAAGACTAAGGTTTTGGAAATACATGTAAAGTATATTGTATAAATGTAGAATTTCATAAAAATGTTGATATCTGTTTATAAATATAATTTTTTTATTTTGTAGCTCGGTACATACTAATTCCTTTGCATTCCATGTCACCTACTGTATCTCAAAAATCTGTTTTTGAATCGCCGCCTCGGGGTAAGCATTAAATATTAAAATTCTTTAAACGCATTTTTGTCTAATTTTAGCATTATAATAGGTTTTCGTAAGATCATATTATCCACAAACATAGCAGGGACTGCAGTTACCATAGACGATGTAGTTTATGTTATTAATAATGACCGGAAGAAATTAAAAGGATTCGATGCAGAAAATAACATTTGACCTCTTAATGTAGAATGAGTTAGCTTAGCTAATAAATTGTAGTCAATGTCGTAGTAGAGCAGGTCGTGTAAGACCTGGTATTTGTTATCATTTGTATACAAGAGGACGTGATAGATCATTTAATGATTATGTACTGCCTGAGATGATATTGATATGATGAAATTGCAGCTGGATCAAGCAGCAGAATTTAAAATTAAAATTATGGAATCTCAATCAGCATTAAAAAAAGAATTAGAAAAAGTTAAAATGTAGAAACAAAATGCATTAGAAGAAAAAGACGAGTATAATGAAATGGCGGAGACTTTAGAAATGGCTGAAGTTAAAGCAGAAACACTTCAATTAGAATTAGACCAAGCAAAAGAGCGTATTGAGGAATTAACAGTAGATTTAGAACTCTTAATGGCTGAGTTTTAGAAAGGAATGTAAGTGAAGAGGGAGGTGATGGTGCCAATTCTTTCAAAGTCAAGCAACTTGAACAACAAAATGTACGTCTTAGAGATACACTTTTCAAGTATAAGATGCTTTTATATTATTATTGTTGTTTAAAATTGATTGATTCCTATTTAGTTGACACTTATTAAAACTTAAGATTACGAGACTTATCCGCCCACGAGAAACACCAAACACAAAACTTACAAAGAGAAATCGAAGAAATGACCAAACAATGTAATGATTTACAAAAGTCTAGTGAAGAACTAGCATCTCAAGTTAATGATTTGCATGAACAGGTTTTATATTAATTTTTAAATCAATGGTTTCCAAGTATTAATATATTATTATATTTTAGGTTGATGCAGCTTTAGGAGCAGAGGAATTAGTTGAGCTTCTGGGTTAACAAAAATTGAATTTGGAAGATAAGGTAGTAGAATTAGAGAAAGCAGTGACTGATCTAGAAGCGATACAAGATATTAATGATCAACTCCAAGAAGATAGTACAGAGTTGGAAATGCAATTACGTAAAGAATTAGATATGGCAAATGCTAATATTAAAGAGGTTTTAAATAGTGAGTTACTTAAACTTTTAAGCTGTAATTAAAATATAGTTCTTAAATTTGAGTTGCATAATAATTCTATATTTTTTCTTTTCAGTGACTGGTACTGGAAATGATAGTAATAAACCATGCCAAGAATCTCCATTCTTACTTAACAAATTAAAGTTAACCAAAATGGCACTGAAATAGATCTAAGAGCCAAGCTTGAAAATAATTATTGTGAACAAATATTTTCTAAATTAAAACCTTTGCCTGTAAGTTAATACACTTATTTTTATTTATGAAATAACAACATTATAGTAATGACTGATGAAATATTTGTTGCAATATAATAATCAATATATTTTACAAATTAAAACCTTTTTCAATTTTGATTTCTAGTTCAATTTAATAACTGCCTTGAAAGTTGGGTGGGTAGGTGGGTGAAATAATAGTGTTTACTTCTGAGACCTTCTGCTATAATTTTACTAAACACAGGAATGTCATTAAATTATGTACATTTAATTAGTAAGTTAGTTTAATTAGTTTCACAGTCATTTGAAAGGGTGTTCATTTGGAAGGAGTGGGAGGTGTGTTTCAATCAACATATTTGAACTGCCAGTTTTAATAATTAAGAGGATGTAACACGGGCATTTGTTGTCTCCGTCTTACAATTACGTAACAGCACATTTTAGCTCAGCAGATCACGTTTGACTTTGTTAGTTTAAATTTAGAGTGAATGAAACTTGATGGTAAGAAAATTATCTTTGTTTTTATAGGAGTTTTTACTGTAGTTAAATTTTTTAGCAAGTTTTACGTATATAATATAGCGTAAATTAAAAAAGCTCATAACTAAGAATCATGTTTCATAATAGGTCGATTCATTCTAATTTTTAAACTAGAAAAGCTTAATGTTTTATACTGAGCTTAAATTTCCTATGTTACTCTCTTGTAAGACAGAGAAAACAAATGCCCGCGTTACGTTCTCTTAATATTTTCATTTATTTGAAGATCACGTATCTGTTTTCAACTTTGCTCTAAACAATTTTTAAAATGTACATGTCCAATTATTTCCATTATTTCCTTGTTGACAAGTCATTTTACACATAATTGTTTACATGCCTCATATTATTTATAATAAGTCTCATCAAAATTGGTATATTTTGTCATAATTTTAACGGCAATATACATTTCAATATTTCTATTACAAAAATCAATTTTAGATTCTGAGTGGAACGATGAATGTATTGATTTTACATTGATGTGTGTTTTTTTATTTTTTATTATTTATTCATTTTTGTGTCTGTCATCACGGTTTTGGGCCGTAAAACTGCTTCGATTTTCTTCAACAGTATCTTGTTCGATGGAAAACTGAATCTAGTTGGTGCATTCGGGAGGTCAAATTTTAAAATTCCCAATAGTTTTGTGCCGGAAAAAACAACAAAAATTAAGGAATAACGGGATTTTTTACCCAAAATTTTGGTTTTTGGTGTAACTCTAAAACAAATGAACGTATATACATGAAATTTTCACTGCTTGTTTATATTTGCATTTTCTATACATGATAAAATTTTCAAAATATTATGATATGTTTTTAACTGTTTAGGGACATTTGCAGTTTCCCATTTTACTAGTTTTTTTTCTGTGAATGTCAATAAAACTTTATTTGTTGAGTAAAAATACTTGAAAATTTAGTACAATGCTCCTTCTATATTGTTACAATGACATTTGAAAAATATTAAAAATCCTTAGTCACAGATTTTTTTCATAAGCATTTAAAGTTCAAAAATTGACAAAATATGGAAAAATCACAAAAATTAGCAAATTCTTTTGAGTTAAGAATTCATAAAAATTTTTCTTTTTAAATCTAATATTTTTAAATGTAATACAAGATTCCCTATAAGATTATCTACCTTTATATAAAAAAAAAAAAATGTCTACCGGAAGTTGAAATTAAATTTTTCTGAGCATTTTAAATTCATATTTTTACAAAATGTGTTATTCACTCGATTTCTCATGTAACGATTTTCTTATTTTGTTATACTTGAAAAACGAATAACTGTAGATACATGACAATTTCACTGAATGTTTATATTATCAATTCTTATACTTAATATCTTGACACTTTTTGAGCTGTTTACGGGCATTGTCAGTTTTCAATTTTTTACTTTTTTTTTCTATGAATATCAATGAAGTTTTATCTGTTGGGTCAAAAAGTGTAAAATTGTAATACAATGCTCCTGATATATTGTTACAATATCAGTTGAAAAATATTAAAAATACACAAGCACAGTTTATTTTTATAGTCATTTTAAGTTCATTTTTAGACGAAATTACATATTAAAAAACCTATCATAATTATTTTAGTTATTTTGTTGTGATTGTATAATATTATTCGTGGGTACCTACTTGAAACTTCTAAAGTGTACTATTATGTATGTATGATAGTATCACGGTTTTTTGTTGATGTATAACACATTATAAGTACTTATTGGATATTGTGATATGATTAATTTTTAATTTATTATAGGTCAATATTTTTTAAAATACCATAGATATGTATATATATATGTCTTAAACCTAGACTGACATACCGTCTCCGCTCAGAATCGTTTTTCTTATATAATGATATTATATCATTGAATTCAAATTTAGTACCATAGATTATACAGTGGCCCACTTGTAACCTACTGTACAGCAGAGCACCTTTTTTGGCTTGTATTAATTTTTAAATAGTTAAACTATGTTAAACTAAAAATTGTTTTGTTTTTGTATTCCTAGTTTACTTCAAGACTCTAGAGATTCACAAAATGATATTTCAAGTATTAATGAGTTACAAGATTGGATGGACTTTAAAAGTCCCCCCAGGAAGTACATACTCACATCTCTTATGGTTTAATTGATGAAAATTCAACAAACATGTCAATGTTACACTACAGTCATAATTTATTTTAATTAAATATAGTTCCAATTTAAGCTAAAATAATTCTACCAGTGCCTAGCTATAATTTTTGCTATAAAATCATGTATAATGTATTTTGTGTTTTTTGTTATGTTTATATGAGTAGTATACTTCAATATGATAATGACAATATGAGATACACAAAATAAAAACATTTCTTAATATTAGTATCAGATTAATATATAATTATTGAAAGCCTGCATGTATTAATAACAAAATAATAACGGAGTAGGAACTAGAAATACCTTAATGTTGTATGTTTATACATTAAATGTACTAAATATATAATACTAATTTTCACTGAACAATTTATTATTGTATATTATGTTATAATATTGTACTATGTTTTACTATTTTATTAATTTTTATATTAACCCTATGGAAATAGACTAAAAGTGTATTGCATAAATGCAAACATGTTGCACAGAGAGCATGCCATACCTAAGAATACCCAAATTACATTTAAAATCTATGTCTTTTAGTAATTATAATATAAGATAGTAAATACACCAAAATGTAATTTAATAACAAAATTAAAATAATTTGTCATGTTATAGATTAGTTGAATAATCATCTTGTGAAGAATCACCATCAGAAAAGGCACCAATCAAAATGGATAATAAGTTTACCAGAAAAAAACAAAGAAATCCCAAAAATTGGAAACAATCAATCAATTATGATTTGACTTAAAAAGGACTTGAACATGTATCTAAAACAGGCAAAATAATTCCAGCCAAAATTGTAAACTTTCTAAGGTCTTGTAATAGATGTGCATATAGTTGTTTAGTTAATTTTGATCGAGATTAAATAATAAGTATTCACGATTTATACTACAGTGTCAGCAGAAAAGATAAAATTTTATTTATACTTAATTATAAATCCTTAATTACTTCAAAAAGTAAAAATAAATCAAAGGACAATTTTATTCTATTTTATTGTTTGTGGTAAAGTGCAATTATATAAATTATGTTTCAAATTGTTTTTATCTCATTTATTTTGTTACCTATTGTCTACCATAATTTTATACTAAAATATACTAGATTTGTTAGCAATACAAATGTATGTTGTTGCTTTGGCGATGCTTTATACACAATTTTTGTCTTTTACACAAATGCATTTTTTTTTTAAGTTCAAAACATTTACTTGTAACCGAGTGAATAATTAAAAATATGAATAAGTACATAATTTTAAAGGATAATTATTTTTGGTTTCATTTTTGTGAAAGGGTCATTGAAATTATAATATTAGATACAACTAAAGATCAAAATGTACTACATTTTCTCTTCAGACTTACTTATATAAGTAAATAATACAATCATTATGTACAATCTATAAAATAGTATAAATTAATAAATATTATACTAATCAGTACCGAATAATTATTAATAATTATTGATTGCATTTATTTTATTCATACCTATTCCACAGAATTTTACGATCGAGATACAGATTTCGATGTTTCATAATTATTATTACATCGTTTTGTGTTAGAAGGTTGGTAGCAATGAGAAAGCATTATTCTGAAAAGGATTCTACTAACAATAATACAAATAACAGTTAAGAATGAAAAAGTTCTAATTGATTGTATTTTTTTTTATTTTAGGATGAAAAGGTTCTAATTGTAGAAACAATTTATAATTTTAATTTTATTAATTTTAATACCAACCAATCAGGAAATTATTATTAATTATTAAAATGATGTGAATTAAACTATACAAGTTGCTACATGTCTTAGAACTCTAATTTTAACAAAATGTTTTTCAAGGAATAAGATATTTTAACTCAAACCTTAAAATTGCTCTCCTGGACAATTTCATAAAAACGATTGAGAACCTTTTCATTCTAGACCCATGAAGTTACAATTCGAATTGAGAACGATATTGCGAAAATGAATTGCCGGAAATCATTAGTTTTTAATTGAAAATGATGGAGGAGTCTATTTTAAAAAAATTATATAAATAATTATATAAATTATGTTTCAAATTGTTTTTATCTTATTTATTTTGTTACCTATTTGTCTACCATAATCATGTACTAAAATATACTAGATATGTTAGCAATACATTTTGGGGCTTACAAAATTTACTATTTAGACTTAAATTGAATATTTATTGCCATGGACAATATGTTAACTGGGTGAGGTAGAAGAATGTATACGTTTAATCCCAAAAGCGCAATGTATAAAATACTCGAGACCACACAGTCCAAAGGCTGTCTTGGTTTCACCACGCCAAGTAATATATTATGCAAAAACCAAATTTACGTATGGTTTTTGCATATACTATACGCCGGATATCACCTTAGGTTTGCGCGAAGTATTTAAAACAATATACTTAATATAAAATATTATTAAACTTTATATTTTATATATACCTACCTACATTAGCCACCTCATATATTTTATTAGTTTACTTAAGTACAATGAACTTAAGAAAAACAATATGATTACATAGATATAGGGTATAATATATAATATTATAATGTATGGAGAACGAAGGTTTATTTCGACTACTTATCGTGTACACATCAAACACAACAAAAAAATTATAAAAAAAAATTAAGAAATTAAATACACACTTCATAGTAAAATCAAAACTATATAGGTACCCGATACAATTAAAATTAACATAATATTAAATAATAATTAATAATTTTGTGATCGGCAGTATATACGTATAAAATGTTAGACTTGGAATTTTACAAATCTAGTTGGTATATAGTAGGTACTGTATATCTTTATGTTAACTCTAAAATCCATTAATCACATTTTCATTTAATGATTCCTAAAATATTTACAATATGCTTTTTTTTTTTTTTTTTTTTTATTAAATAAAATATATACAATCTGTATTAACTATACAATAAGTAATAATGATGATTTATATACAAGACTGGACGGCTTGATAGAAGGGAGTGTCCAAACAACACTACTTCAATAATTTTGTGATCAGCAGTAGGTATTCGTAGAAAATGTTAGACTTGGAATTTTACAAATCTAGTTGGTATTATGGTAGGTACTGTAAATTTAATGTACTTAGGTATTAGGTACTGTACCTATATCTTCATGTTAACTCTAAAATCCAGGAATCACATTTTCATTTAATGATTTTTAAAATACAATATGCTTTTATAAAAATATACTTGTACTTCTGATATCTATATTCACCATCTTAATCAATAATTAAAAAAATAAACAAAAATAATAATTTAAATAATATATCATATCAGTTCGTGTTCACTGCCCGACCGTGCTACACGCCTGTTTCGCATATTATCGCATTTATAGCTTTCGATAGCAGTATACACCCGTACAATCAACGTGCAGGTAATATGTTTATCTTTATTGCATTAGTAACACCAATTAAATAATATCCCAACAATGGGCGATAAGCCTATTTCCACTAACGATATGAACAACACCAACAGTCCTTCTCAACACACACTTAACAATCAAACATTTGCAGAGATAGCTTCAAATACCACTTTACCGAAAATGAACCAAGCAATCGTTTTCAATTCCATCAATAACATTAAACAAATTGAATATGTATCGGCAATCAGTAAAATCGTACCTGCTGAGAATATCATATTTGTTTCGCGTATTTCCAACAACAGATTTTGCGTCTTTTTTAACAGCCAAACCGTTATGGAAAATTTACTAAAAACTCATTCATCAATTCACGTCAATGGTATTGATATTCCTATTCGAAGACTTATTAACGCTTCTAAGAGAATCATTTTATCAAATGTTTACCCTACCATTCCCAATCAACTCATATTAAACGCTCTCCATCAACTAGGAATCAAAACTACGTCGCAAATTACACACATGAAAGCTGGATTCGCTACAGAGCAATTTTCACACATACTTAGTTTCAGAAGACAAATATACATAAATCAAGATAGCGCGACCAAACTACCTAATTCAATCACCGTAACCGTAGAGAACACTACGTTCAGAATATTTATCACTGATGATATCGTAACTTGTTTCCAATGCCACCAAACTGGTCATTTTTCTAGCCAATGCAAAAATATACCTGATCCAATTAATGTCATTAATGAGACTGAAACCGTAACGGAAACCCTTATTGATTTATCATCAACTACAATTGAAGATAATAACTTATCTTCCTCGTTACCTATTGTCAGTACTCAAAATTATCATAACACCCAGGATAGTGAAAGTGTATTATTAGACCAAGTGGTTGACAAAGATATTATTACTTCATATGAACAGCCAAATAAACCTTCACTGATTGACAAACTTAAATTGACTGCTAACCATAGAACCAAAGTACCGCCTCTTCAGCCAGCCAAACGTCCAGCTCCTTCTACCTCATCTGCGTCTCAGCCTCCATCACCAAAATCGTTTCAACCATCTAGCCCTCCTCCTCAATCAACAATGAAGCCTCCTGGAAGCAACACACTTGATGGTCGAACCCAACAATCCAAAAACCCCAAAGGTAGTGTAAGCAAAAAACTAAAAGTAAGGACCAATTCCATCTCCAGTGATACAGTACATACAAATATTGATGAATGTTTTGATTCCACTCGAGATCTGTTTGACACACACCTGGATTTTTCTTTAACCTTTGACCAATTTAGAGATTTCTTCGAAAGTTCAAAAGGTTGCTCCGATCTCGAAAATTTATGTAACAAATACGCTTGTAGTCCAGATGATATTTTAGAAATTATTTCAACTATTTACCCTAATGTAACAGTTAAAAGCGCTAAAAATCGTCTAACCAGATTATCTAATGCATTGAAAAAAATAATTCAAGACTTCAATGCCTGTCAGAACGCGGATCCTGACGAGGATGATGATGAAACCTTCTAGTAAACCATCAACCCTTATACAAACAACATATACCAAATAAATAATTCCAACCAACCATGAATAATAACATCTTTCATATCATCCAATGGAATCCTAATGGATTCTACTCAAAAATCGACGAAATAAAACTAATAATCAACAGGTTCTCTCCAGTAGCTCTATGTATACAAGAAACCAACTTCATCGATAACAAATCAGGGTCTTTAAAAAATTATGTAAACTTTTTCAAAAACAGAACCAACCATATTAGGGCTAGTGGAGGAGTGGCCACCTTTATCAATACACAATATCCCTCTGAAGAAATCACCCTTATCACAAACCTAGAAGCAGTAGCAGTAAGAATTTCTGTCAAATATAAACTAACTATTTGTAATTTGTACATACCTAACTCGCAGATCCTCAGTTACACTGACATCCAAAACATTATCGACCAACTACCTACGCCTTTTATAATTCTGGGTGACTTCAACAGTCACAATATCTTGTGGGGCTGCAATGACACTGATCAAAGAGGAAGAATTATAGAAAAAATACTCGATAACAACAACAACATCAATATTCTCAACAACGGTCAAGCAACAAGAATAAGCGCTAGTACAGGAAACCTCTCGGCAATTGATCTCTCTTTTTCTTCGTCAACTATTACACCTCATTTTGAATGGAACACAATGCCTGAGCTTTCTAGTAGCGACCATTTTCCAATTAAACTAACCTTGAAGTATACCAACCCTGACGAAAAACACACTCGTAGTCTTAAATGGAAACTGAAAAATGCCAACTGGGATACCTACCAAGCAGAAATTGAAAAAAATATAATTAATCGTTCCCTTTCTTTTTTAAATAATAATGATGTAGAGGATACTATGGAGGAACTCAGTAATTTAATTTATAACACGGCATCCAATATTTTTGAACAAAATAGTTACTCTGGGAAACGACCACCAGTACCATGGTGGAATAAAACCATCAAACATGCTATAAGGAACAAAAAAACTACCTTCAATAAATTCAAACGCACAAATGATTTCAATGATTTTATCGAATTTAAAAAATACAAAGCATTAGTCCGGTATTTAATAAAAAACGAAAAAAAAAAATCTTGGATAAAATTTACGACAGACCTTAACAGCAATGAGTCGACAACCAACATTTGGAAAAAAATTAAAGTCATTAAAGGCATTCCCACGTCTCAAATAAAAACCATTTTATCTGAAAATTCTATACTTACGGAACCTCATGAAATAGCCCAATCAATCGGCCAATATTTCTATACTAACAGCAGCAACCTTTCATTAACCCACGATTTTCTCAAGTTTAAACAAGAAAAAGAAAATGAAATTGATACCACAACTAATCTATTACCCAATATTGGCCTAGGCGACAGTTTAAATGAACCAATTACCATGCCTGAAATTGAATTTTGTCTCCGTGGAAATAAAAGCAAAAGTTGTGGATCCGATAAAATTCCATTCATATTCTTACAAAACCTACCTTCTAATGGAAAGTTTCTTCTACTACGTCTCTACAACCTAATTTGGGAGACAGGCTTAATCCCGATTAAATGGAAAAATGCAATCATCACACCCATACCAAAAAATAATCAAAACAGCTTTAAACCTACAGGATATCGACCAATATCGGTACTCTGCAGCATGAGCAAGTTATTTGAAAAAATTATCTACAACCGACTAAGTTGGTACGCAACTCATCATAAACTCCTTTCACCATGTCAACATGGTTTTCGAAAACACCACTCAACCACCGACTGCCACGTAAAAATTGAAACCGAAGTCATAGAAACCTTCGCCAATAAACAATCAATGATACTAATAAGTCTCGATTTACAAAAGGCATACGACACGGTTTGGCGACATAGAGTAATCAATTTACTAAAGAATTGGAACATACATGGAAACATGCTAATCTTCCTAACCAACTTCCTAAACCAACGATCCTTCCAAGTTAAAATTAGAGATCAAACATCAAATACTTTCATGTTAGAAAATGGAGTGCCTCAAGGCTCTCCACTCAGCATTTTTTTATTTCAAACAGCAATTAACAACCTGCCCAGCATCATCACAAACCCTGTAAAATCAATTATTTTTGCAGACGACACTTACATATATATTCGAGGTACTCAAATTTCTGTAATGACCGGAACACTCCAAAAATGCCTCAATGACCTGTTTGAATGGTGCTTCAAAGCCGGTTTCATTTTTTCGCCTCAAAAGACAAAATGTATTTTATTTTCGAATAAAAGGAAACTAACCAAACCAAAACTCTTTCTAGGTACATCTCGTTTACCCTTTGTTGAAGACATTTCAATACTTGGTCTCACTTTCGATAAAAAGCTTTCTTGGAAATCCCATATTATGTCACTAAAAAAAAATTCATATAAAAGCCTTAATGTCATCAAATCATTAAGTCATTGTGAATGGGGCGCTGAAGGAACCATATTATTAAATGTGTATAGATCGCTCGTAAGATCCAAACTCGATTATGGTTCAATTTGTTACGGAAACTCAGAATCAAAGCTCTTACAAATTGTTGATACAATCCACAATGCCGGACTGAGATTTTCAATTGGAGCATTCAAAAGCAGCCCGATTGTTAGTTTGTTATCCTTGACTGGTGAACCCGCACTTCAGCACCGAAGAACTAAATTATCTCTTAATTATATAGCTCGCATCTTTTCTTCACCGGAAAATTCAACCATTCACTTTTTAAACAAAAAGCGCTTTTCAAATATATATGAACACAATTCTAAACTAAGAAAACCATTAGGGCTAAGGCTACAAAAAGAGATGATGGATATCAACATTGAAATTAATGAAATATGTCAACGCGAAAGCAGTCTGATACCCACCTGGAAACAACCAAATTACCTAGTTGATACTAGCTTAACAGAACACCTTAAAAAAGAAACACCAAATACTATTTATAATAACCTATTTAATGAATTAATACACACTTCAAATACTAGCACTCAGATCTATACTGATGCATCGAAAACTGAAATGGGCATAGGACTTGCAGTAGTACACCTCAATGTAACTAAACAGTACAAACTCAATAAATTAAGCAGTATTTATTCAGCTGAATACCTAGCATTATTGAAAGGAGTTCAATTTGCCCTAGATATCAACAATACTAAAATCGATATTTGCTCTGACTCACTCAGTGCCTTAGCAAATCTACAATCCAAAACCTTATCAGAACCATTGGCTCTTTCAATCAGCAACCTTCTTTCCAAATCAAATAAAGAAATCAGATTTATATGGACCCCAGGTCACTGTAACATAAAGGGAAATGAGAAGGCAGACGAAGCGGCTAGAAATGCAGTCAATAGTCCAGACAGTGAAAATATTCCTTTTTCCTCACTCGTAGATATAAAAAGAAATATAAACAAATACTGTATTGATTTGTGGAACTCACAGTGGCACACGACCCCGGAAAATAAATTGAGAGAAATTAAGCACTCTGTCGAACTCTGGCCGAAATACACTGAACTAAACAGAAAAAATGAAGTAATTCTCAATCGACTCAGAATCGGTCACACGAAACTCACACACGGACATCTTATGGCAAAGACAGATCCACCCCTATGCCCAACATGCAATACAAACTACTCCATCAAGCATATCATCATCCACTGCCCAAACTTCAACGACGCTAGAAAAGATCTCAACATCCCAGACAACCTGTACGAAGCAATTGGTCCATTTTCAAACTTTCATAACATAATTTTATTTTTAAAAAAAATTGAATTGCACAATACCATATAATTATTTAATGTAGAAATAACACCTGTAAGCTAATAACCTATGTAGTTGATGCTTAACCAATAAAAAAAAAAAAAAAAAAAATATATCATATATTATTATATTTCAAATTCAAAATTATAAGCATAGATAAGTATATATTATAATAGTATGATTATAAGCTATTTTGATTATCTATATATATAAAAATAAGTGTACATTTTGAATAAATCTTATAGCTCAAGATCCACCGAACCGATTTCGATAAAAATTTCAGGGCATATTAAGATTGATATGTAGATGGTTTCTGTGAAGTTTGTACGCTGTGCGATAAATGGTTCCGGAGTTATGGCCTCATAAGTGCACACCTGGCGACATGACCAAAAACAACAACAAAATGTATGAAAAATGAAAAAAAACGTCTGTTGACATGACAACAACAATTCTATTTTCTAGATAAATATTAATTGGGTTGAGATTAAACGAGATTGATTTTTATTCAATTTCAATTGTATGGATTTAGGCGTTAAAAAATGCCACGACCAAAACGACAAAATATTGGCCGACGATCACGTAATTATGTCGCCCAACAATATCATAGGAGATCTCAAAGTGAAGAGGCACATTTACAACGAAATGTTATTCAACATTTACGAAATGAACATCGAACTACATCTGCAGGTCCGTCAACAAATCCAGCATCAAGACGAATGTCAAGAATTTCGCGTCGTGCTCAAGCCATGGAATTTGCTGCATTTCATTACAGCAGTGAAATGGATTACAGTGAACATGGTCTTATTGGTGGAATGACGGTGAGATGTCTACATTGTGCTGCAGCCAAATTTCCAGATTAAACGGCTGGCATGTGTTGTACTAATGGCAAAGTGAAATTGCCAGCATTCGAATCTCCACCTGATCCACTGCACTCATTAATTTTTGGAACGTCAACAACGTCCAAGCATTTTTTGTCCCACATTCAAGAATATAATACGCCATTTCAAATGACTTCTTTTGGTGCGACGAAAGTTATAAGAGACAGTTTTATGCCGACGTTCAAGGTAATTATCTTTCGAAAAATGCAACCTGACCAGCAATTATTTTGATATTTACTCAATTGAGTATATATTTAATTAACATATTATATATGTATATTAATTATTATCTATCTATTTCTATATATATATATATATAAAAAAATAAGTGTACATTTTGAATACATTTTATAACTCAAGATCCACCAAACCGATGTCGATAAAAATTTCAGAACATATTAAGACTAATATGTAGATGGTTTCTGTGAAGTTTGTACAATGTACGATGAGTGGTTGTGGTCTCTTAAGGGGATTCGATCCGGTGATTTAATAAGGGGTCGTGTATAGGCAATTCGATGTATTATAGTCGTTTCGCAGTGTGTTTGTGTGCGAAGTAAATGATCATTAGTGTGCGTAGATACGTTCGGAATCAGTGGTTCGCACCCGCATGCACATGTCACATAATAAAATATTTGTTCCAATGAGAAACTAATTTCAATCAATTGAGACCTAAAAGCCTGACAAAAATACGATAACTTAGAATGATCGGATTTTAGTTCTGTAAACATATTTGAATTCATCGTTCTTTTTTCTAGGTTATTGTGGGAGTCGATTTTTGAATAACTGTTTAACTTTTTAAAGAAAGACACAAACAATTTTCAAAAAATTGAGAAATCGATATATGATTTAACGTGAATTCTAAAAAAAATATCGAAAATTGATTCCCACAATAACCTAGGAAAATTGTCAATGAACTTGAATCTTTTTACAGAATTGAAATCTGATAATTCTAAGTAGGCGTATTTTTGTCAGGCTTTTAGGTCTAAATCATGAAATAAATACGCTGGATCGAATCCCCTTAAGTGCACAACTTTTGACATGGCCAAAAAAAAAATAAAAATAATAATGTATTATATTTTGGTTGCTATTGGTTAATCGGGCATGTTTGTTGATTTGTATTATTATTTTTCGTCAATATATACATATATAATATATAATTTAATGTTTATGTGTAGATTAGACCTTTGGGTAGAAGATTGGCTAATTTAAAAAATTAAGTTTTTCTTATTCATCATTATTACGGTTATGTTAGGATTTTATATAATCGATTATATTAATCCACCATAGATAGAATACGACAAACTTGGTATAACTTTAATACTTTAGAGTTAAATCATACACTTACGTACACACAGCACGGGGTCCGCGATCTACCGCAGGTAGATTGCCTACCTGATAATGTACTGCAGTGAAACAGAATTTTTATTCCGGGCAACGGAAAAGTTAAGATTAATTTTGAAACCATACACTAAATATAAAATAACAAATTGAACAAAGTTTGAGTCACAACTAGAGTTGGTACACTTAATGGGCAACGAAGTGCACGGGTTCAGCTAGTTGTCATATAAAATTCGATGTACAAATATTGTTAATTAATACGGAGCTCTTTGATATCTAAAAAAATTCATTATATATTATATCCGTGGATTCACCATATTGACGTACCTTCTACAATATCCATCATTTATAGTCTATGGCAAATATCAAATTCGTTTCAGAAGACACAGTCGATTAAAATTTCTAAAATTTCAATAAGCAAAGCAGATATGAGCAAAAAACTTACTGCGTTCCGTTTAATTTTATTTTTCATTAATCACAATATTTTAATAGTTGTGTATTCTGGAGCGTTTCCTCGTCGGCCTCGCAGCTAGTGAACTTCACGGATTCCGCCGAAAGATTCGATGTTTCAGCGTAAGTTTGTTTTCATATTATTTTGGGATTTACGTTTACTTTTTAGACTTAAAATAAATATTTATTGTCAAGGACAATCTGTTGACTGAGTGGCGTAGAAGCATAAATGTTTACTCCCCAAATCAAAATGTATATTATTATAATATCCTCGAGTCCCGCACTCCCGCGAACAGTCCTAAGCCAAGCTATTATTACATACCTTATTTTTGCATATTGTACTACATTTAATCCGGGAAACACTTTAGGTTTGCTCGAAGTATTTAAAACAATAGTATATTATTAATCATTATATTTTATATACATTATACATTTATACACCTCATATATTTTATTTGTTTATTTACAATTTACACGTATTTTAGTGTCGTTATTATACCCTATAGGTAATAAATATTTTGCAATTATATAGTTTACCATAATTAATATTCTTGATCCCTAATTATATAATATGATAAAACATTTCAAATTTGAATAATATAAATTTGTTGTTATCAAGATTCACAGTATTACGTACATAAGTCCTAGGTACTCTTTTTTGGACGTTTTCAAAACGGATTACGATTAAAAAAGTTACACAGTTGACGTACCATTTTCTAGAATCTAAAAGCTAGATGAACCCGTATGACATAAATTAGGAATTATTCATTTTTTTTTATTAGTTTTTTACTAAAACATATGCAATATACTAATAATCGTTATACATTTTCTATAGCTCATACAATTAATAAATATTCATAGTTCATTCATAAGTAGATGTATATAGTATATTAGTATATACTTCATAAATATTTTATGATTTAAAACGTGTAATTAATTTAATTATGCAATCATGTATCAGTTTTAATGTATATAATATGTAATATGTGTAGGATCGCCGGCGCAAGGGGAAATGCATTTTAAAAATTAAAAACATAATATAACGTAAAGTTGTAGTAGAAGCTGCAAACTGTAGTACTTAAATTCTAATTTATAATCCAATTAATGTAATAACTATTAAATGCATCATTGAACGATTATTCAGAGGTCAGTTGGGGATAAATACCAAAAGTATAAATGCAATTAAGAAGAGTTAAAAAACATTTTGTGGAAGGAACACGATTACTGCTATTATTAAAGTCTTAATTATTATTCACAAAAAAATACAAATAGTGGATATTTTAAATTTTAATAGATTTTAACTATTGACATTAATTGTAAATAGTTTTTGATCGATTAATATTATGTAAGTACCTACTATAAAATGATTATTTTTGAAAAACAATTAAATGCAGGGATTCCCATGAATTGATCTTACAGTAGCCCAAAAATATCAGAAATACATTTATTATGCCTACACAAAACACTTACCTACACCTACCAAAATTGAATTTTTCACAAAATTTGTTATTTTAACGATAAATGACAATTTTAGTTCCCTATTATGGTAAAAGTATTTATACAAACATACAATTATTACTCGAAAATACGTTTTCCTATATTATTATTTCCTAAATACAAAGAAACTTAAAAATAAGCAATATGATCATTGATTACGTACAGAGTAGGTACCTATAATATATTATGCATGGAGAACGAAGGTTTATTTTGACTACCTACTTATCGTGTACACATCAAACACAAAAAAGAAATAATAACAAAAAAATAAGAAATTAAATACACATCATAGTAAAATCAAAATATTCATCCCTCTGCTCAGAATCTAAAATATGAATTATAGGTACCCGATACAATCAAATTAACATAATATTAAATAATAATTAATAATTTTGTGATCAGCAGTATATATGTAGAAAATGTCTGACTTGGAATCTTACAAGTTACAAATCTAGTTGGTATTATATGGTAGGTACTGTAAATTTGATGTACTTAGGTACTGTATATCTTTATGTTAACTCTAAAATCCAGGAATCACATTTTTATTTAATGATTTTTAAAATACAATATGATTTTATAAAAATATGCTTGTACTTCTGATATCTATTCACCATATTAATAAATAATTAAATTAATAAACGAAAATATTCAACCCAATAATATATCGTCGCCTAAGAACCATCATGGCCAATCTCAAAAAATTCAAATAATATGTTTTATATATCTATAGATTCGTATTTTCGAGACGCATAAGACCAAGTGATTAGTTTCGATGTTTGTCTAATAGGTTTGCTATAAATATTCTAAAAGTCATCATGGCCTATCTAAAATTGTTTTTATCAGTGGTATATCATGGCCTATCTAAAATTTTTATTAGCGGTATCATAGGTGATATCATGGCCTATCTAAAATTGTTATCAAAAAAAAAATTGTTATCATGGCCAATCTAAAAATATCAGAACTGCCGCCGTCAGCAGCCAAAAACTCGATGAAATCAGTATTACTAATATTATTATTATTATTGACAATAAGATGAAACTTTTTAGAGTTATTTAATGTCAAAAGGTCTACCAACATTCAAAATTCCTAACAAAAAAACAGTTTTTTGTTCACCCTGAAAAGTTGGGAAAACTGAGATTGGCCATGATGGTTCTTAGGCGACGATATCATAATTAGTGTTTGAAGTATGGGAAATATTTCATGAAATATTTCACTAAGTTGTGAAATATTTCACAAAAACGTGAAACATTGAAAATTTTTTTAACACAAATAAAAACACAATTTATTTTTTTTTAACACAATGTTCAGTGTTCTAAATTCTAATGTCAGAATTCAGTAAGTATACAATATACATGTATAATATTGTATACCTACTTGTATCATTTAAACATTAAAATATTTAAAAATTTTGAATACCAATTTAAATGTATAATACCAAAGGTTAGGTATACATGCAGTTACCATATAGAGATGAAGGTAATTTATGACAATTATATGTAAATATAAAACTTATTTAAAAATAAAACAAAATATATTAAAATACTGAAATATTTCACATATTTTGAAATATTTCATGAAATATTTCACGAAATATTTCATTTTTTAAAATTTCATGAAATTTTCAAACACTAATCATAATTGATATTATTATAATTCAAATTCAAAATTATAAGCTATTTTAATTTTTGTCATATAAA